TTTGTTCATCGAATAACATTTTATTTAATTTATATAATTTAGAAGAAAATATCTTGAACTGATTCGAATTCATATGAAACAATGTAAGTTCCTAGTTTAGAATCCAAATAAGTAGTAAGATGGTAACTAAAAAGGTGATTATTTTGTATGCTTTTATACCCGATAGTCGATGACAAACTAAAATCATCAAAACTCAAAAATCAAAATAAACGTAAATTGGATTAGACACCAATAAAAGCGAGGCAAATAATCAAATGAACCACCATAATCAGAAATATAAGAAAATCAAAAGTCAAAACACACAAGAATTAAAGATGTATTTCCTGGTTTGAGGAAACTTGGAGGCTGATTTGCATAATTGTGTAACAGTTTGATCAATGAATGCAGTGTTCTGAGTTTTAAAAAAAATATGAACTGAAAACTACAAATCTATAAACAAGTTAAAATTTAGATTGAGTTATTTCATGCTCTTGCATTTGATAGTCGATACATACAACTTGTGAATCCAATAAACATAAATCAAATAAACGAAACCGAATTTCCCAATTCGACTTTAGATGATCAAATGTGTGGCTCATAGGGCAAGAGCAGAGCTAAGGTTCATAGGGTTCATATACTTGGTGGATCCGGTCAAGATATGACGGACTATCATGCGGTTTGCTTTCTCAGTCGGATGAAACGCGTCCCAAAACACATATAACTCTCGGTTTGGACACAAGTTTGACAATACCGTACACAACCCCATCCCATTATACGGCCCTTGTCCGCAACAAGCAACCTTCGACGTGATAAATCCTATAACCCCATCCGAAAGCAATAGATTATTGTTATAACCCTTTCTTGTCGATGAAAGTAAAAAGTACATAGTTAGAAGGGACAATTGAAATTTAATTACCATAGGTTCGTGGAGTGCTTAGAAAATCCGTTTGCATTTGATTAATGTTTGCGGCAATAAACACGTTTTTCCCAATCTTTCTGTTAATCTCATTTATCATTTGGAGTAGTTGAGGATCGTATAGGGACGCTGCTCGTTGTAGCTCGGCCGAGCATCTCCCATTGGACGAGGTTGTTCTAGCTAGCTCGGCCGGTGCACATCCTAGTGGTCCGGCTCCGGTCACTAGAACTCGACCCACTCCAAGCGAATATAATCTCTAAAAATAACATAAATTATATTGTTTGTATCTAATAGAAATCAAATCAATGTGTAAAGTGAAAGTACTTGATGTTACAAATATCGTGTGTGGGTAAGAATGTGCTTTATTTTGTATGATTGTTATTACCATAAGTATTTTCTTGTATTCGGAAATTAGTAACCGAACGTAGTCAGGTAGAGAAAATTGGCGCGATCTAGCGGAATACGGCACCAAGAAATAGTTGTTGACGAAATCGTTGCCGCCGACGGTGATTAGTACAAGCGCTTGACTCACGAGCCGCTGCGTTCGCGGTCTACTAATCAAACGACTCACACGTTGTTGGTATTGTTGGAAATAGTCGAGTTGTTGGTTCATTCTTATAATGTTTATCTGCGGTATCAAAAAATATATAAATCTATAGAGAAGCGAACATTTAATGAAAATTTTATAATAAGAGATTAGACCCGGTTATATTACTTACGAATTGAAAGCCGGTATCGTTGAGAATTCCGATACCGGCAGAGGCAAAGTTGGCACCATTAAGCAGCCTCCGGCCCCTTAGCTCTGGACTCAGGTACGGTAACGGTGGCTCATCGTTGCCGATTGCTTCACCTAATATAACCAATATTAACCAATTGATTATTAACTATTAGTCAAGTTCACATATTGTTTGTTTGTTAAGTTCACATGTATCAATTGATTATTTAAGTCTTTTGGTATATAATTTACATTTTACGACTAAATATGTATATTTTGTCGAAATATTGAATTAAGATTACTCTAAAGCGAGTAATGAAGTTAATTAAAAACCAAACGAAGTTAACAAAAAAACCAAACGTAACTGATAAGATCTGGAATGTTAAGACCGTTGGAAAACCGGCCGGTTGGTCTCCGAGTTGGAAAATCGATTCCATACGGCGGAGAATCGGCACGTGCAGTTGTCACCAGATAGTTGTTGTTGCCACTGTCCACGAGTGAGTCGCCAAACACGTAAAACGCACGTGCCTCAACCACGATCGGACCGGACATAACCAATGCTATCAACAAAGAAACGAATACTATAACCATTGATTCGGATTTTCTAGTTGTGATCGCCATAAGGGCACTTACTTTTCTTTCGTCAATTTGAAATGACTTTGTGAAAAAACTGAAGATGAAGCCATGAAGGAAGAGTAGAATTTCTATATATGGTTGGATTTTTGGTTTTCACTTTTCATATGATTTATTTTAATGTATTCAATCCCGTGTTATGACAGCCAAAAGTGTTTCTATTATTTTTTTATACAGTCACCGTTGAGCATATATGTTTCTAAAATAATCAAAAACCAGTGAGCATATATATAAACTATTATATACATTATTTTGTTTTTCCTTGCGATCATTTCCCTTCTAATGCTCCATTTCTTTTTTAATTTAATGTCACCCACCTATATCCACCTCAAGTTTCACAAGAAGGAACGAAAGCGTTGGGACACAAAATCATTTATTTACAACAGCAACTCACATGAGGCTTGTGTATGACAGATCTATAGACTTATAGAGCAACAATAAATTGTCCTGGTTATAAAAATAAAAAACAATAAATTGTCCTATAATAGAGAAGTTGGTTCATATAAAGTTGAAATAAGATCAAACTGTTTGAAAGCTCAGCAAAGAACATTCAAAATTTGATGATTTTTCCCCACAATTGGTTTCTTCACGATTTTTACCCACACACATCAAACCAAACATATATATATATATCCAGAACATAACTACATTGTTTCCGTGAACAACAAAATAACATTTTCCAATTAGATTCTGAATATATATAAGACATCGAACGCTAAATGCTAATCTATTAATCTTG